CTTTTAGTTTCTTCGATATCAGTTTCAATTTTCTTGATTTGCTTGTCTATTTCTTCAATGGTCGTCATATTTTTGTTCGTGGAAAGATGGCGTTTGTGCGATGTGATCTAATATACTGATCAGTGGCTTAATCAATGATGTATTATTAGGAACTTTCTAGATTTTTTCATAATGTATGCAGAATGTGACCAATGATAATTAATGCGCAAAAATTTGTATACTACAAAAACAACACTACTTTTTGAATAAACACACTAAACGCAATAAATATTGTAAACGTAAAACTTGAGCAAAATCCAAATAACAATCTCCATAAACCAACGTTATTCTTGTGATTTGTAGTCTATATGACAGCACGATGATATGAATGGAGACCTTGTTTTCATCAAGTTGGGAAATTTCGTTTTAAAGATTTGAATATGCAATAATTCATACACGTATTTTGTCATATTGACTTTATTATTCTTTAAAAAACAAAGTATATCGAAGCTTCACTAGAGCGATTGCATGGGAGGAAATACTCGGACCCAAAGCCATTGATGAGTCCCCTATACTTTGGTCGCGTTAGTGAATCTATGCAACACAGTATTATTAATGCTATCAACGTCTTCTTCTCCCCTCTATCAATCCATTCCTGTACTGTTTCGACAGTCATTTTCCGCGGATTGGTTTGTCGCAGGTAGAAGCTTTTTTCCTGTAGATCTCAGATGCCATTTTCTTAAACGAGAAAGCTGAGTCCAGCTCAAGTTTTTTATCAAATAATTTTCGATGTTCTTCGCTTGCTGAGTAATTTAGTGAATCAAGATTTTACTTTAAATTTTCCTGGCTCGACCACTTCAAGCTTTTGGTGTCTTATAATGCAGCGAGAGACCGAGAATAAGTCCGATGAATATCCCACAAAAAGAAATTCAACGGAAGTGAACATTTTGTAGATTTTTTTTATGGAATAAAATGCGTTTGATAGTGATTATTTAATGTTTATAATTTTGATCGATTATAAACTTGTTTTAAGTGAAAGTGTTGTTTTTCTAACCAATTTCCAGTCGTCAAACGCCGATCAGAATTATAAGCGTTCATTAACATATTAATATCATTACTTCTGTATTTTGATTGATTTGTCGATCAAACGGTTTTTGCGTCTCCTAAAGTTTATTGATTTTCATACTTGCTCATACGATAATGGTTTGCTGGTCATGAATCGTGTCAACGAACCAAAATTCTCATATTTATTGTCATTCTAACTCGAGCAGTATATAGTAATAGAGAATCATGGAGATTATTGATAGTAATCCAACGATAATACAAGAGCAGCTGTTTGCTTATGCTTCTAGTTTTTGTTTTTTTCTTGGTTCATCATAAGTTGGTGTTTATTGTTCGTTTTTCTTGGTAAATTTCGTAAGTGATTTTTCTTTATCTAGATATTCCCGCAGAGTTTGGATATCATTGATTTTAAAAACGTATGGAGTAATTTTTTCTCGCTATTTTTTTAAAATACTTCTAATAGTGCTGTAATTCTTTGGTTCCATAGTGGATTTAATGTAAATTAGTTTAATTTATATAGACATAATCCTATATTAAGCATATTAAAAGTTTATCTGACACTCGCATTTTATACACGTATATCAATAAACACAAAAGACAATTAAACAAATGTTATCTACTTAAAAGTTTGTTACATACATTATTAACAGAAAAATCTAATATGACATTTATTGCCATCATTTTCTATAACTAATTTCATTGAGCATATTAAATTTTTCACTGTTTGATCAGAAATATTTTCCCATTTCTCAATCGTATACTGCTTTAATTCATCAGTGTCTTGTGGCATATAGAGACAGCCCACGGCCTGAATTTTATTTTGGATGTAAAACATTTGACAGCTTAGGATCATTATCCTGTCGCAACTCCCAGCGTTCTCATACAAATTTTTGCCCATCCATAATTTCTGTAAAGCAAACAGAGGCATTTTATCTTTTAACGAAATCATAATCTTTTGGTAGGCGTCATATGGGCCTATTTACTATTATGTTCTTTATACCATGTTCTTAAAAAATCAAAAGCCGTCTCGTTCGTAAATATTGAGGATTACATTTTTCGTTTTTCGTGTCTCTATATGACGACTAGTTAGCAAGAGGCACACAACTATGGTATCCTTTTTTTCATATGCTCCAAATAGAAGCATGCAAAATCGATATATAGTGTTCCTTTTTAGCCAATAAAGCAAGGTGATGTGTCGTAAGGGCGGCATTATGAATATGCTGGCCCAAGGAACGAGCAAGAGATTGTGTAACTTTCAAAGGCCTATCACTAACGCGTTTACGCTCAATTGTACCCATTTGTCTGAGTTTTTGAAGATACCGTTTAATAGTACGAAGAGGCATGCTTTTTTTTTTGTATATTTCTTCGATGAAACGACACCATTGTACCAGAAATGTGAAACTGAGCTTCAAGTCTTGCGTGTTTTAAAAACAAAATTATCAGTTTGTTGCTTATATAATTAATAAAATGTAAACAACAAATATAATACATGAATCGCGTAAAATGGTCGCGTTTTATTTTTAAATTATAACGATTTCACATTTCTTAACCATCGTTACGCACTACCTACAGAATCTTCCTTCTCTCATCTCTCGAAAACGTCTGTAATAACTAAAAATGTTGTTTATACATAGAGCTCTTTAGAGATTTGTTTGTATTCGGCCAACTCCACAAACCGTAAGATTTATCGAAACGCTCCTACAAACACTTTTGTTTGAAAGCTTATTATTCAAGATAAAGCTGCCTTAAATTGTAACAAATAGCTTAAAGGCTTCGTGAATGCTTATATTTTATAGTATACGAACGACTGTTATATGAACCCGATCTCGATACTATATAAGCTAGCTTTAAATCATTACAATCTCGACTAACTCGAGAATCACGTGTGTCGCTCCGTCCATGCCCGATTAAGATTAAGCTCAAACAATTTTGAACTGCGGTTGATATACAAAGCTTTGTGGACAAGAGAGAAATGACTACATTTATTTCAAGAATTGGTACTAATACTATTCGCTCACGAGTGGTGGGAAATTTAACCCAAAATAGTGATAAGCACGTAAATGCGACTTTAAATTTTCGTGTCAAATGATGATAAATATATTTTTTTGGTAAAAATAATCCTTTCCGCATGTTGTATAGAGACGCTTATTCAGTCAAAATAGTCGGGTCCATCCATTGAAATCCTTGATTCCGTTTGTCGTTGAGCAGACGGTATGAGATACTATATATTGTGTCTGTTAATCATTTCTGATAAAATCTTACGCAGCTTGATCAACCCAAAAGGCTCGTGGAGAGAGATCATATGATATATTCTCAAGGTTGCTCAAAGAACGAATTGTATGTTTGAATGGAGAAGTAGACGACAGTGTTGCTGCTGTGATTACAGCGCAAATCTTGTTTCTAGAGGCCGAAAATCCCGAGAAACCAATACATTTATACATCAATAGTCCAGGCGGAGAAGTGACAGCTGGAATGGCCATATATGATACAGTAAGTGGGGAAGGCAGATAACTGTTGCAACCATACGGTCTTGATCATTCACCTTTCTTCGATTCTTTATTCAAGATGCAGGTACGACTTGATGCGAAGGAGGATGTGTTCAATGATCCGGATATCTTTCTTTTAACGGCGCGATGTTCTTTCATAGTATATCCAGTGTCCTGTGTCAACATTATGCAATGGACAAGCATGTTCTATGGGTTCATTGTTATTAGCTGCAGGTAAATGGTTTCTTTTCACATGTCATTTTATAGGTGCCGGTTATTTAAACCAACCAGCTAGCCAAATGACTGACCCACTATGGTAATTGAATAACCTCAAGGCGAACCAGGACAGCGATATACGCTTCCACATTCTAGAATAATGATTCACCAACCAATAGGGGGTACTTACGGTCAAGCAAGCGACATTGCAATCCAGGCTAAAGAGATTTTACGTATTAGAGATCAATTAAATCGGATTTATCAAAAGCACACCAAGAAACATACTCTAGCGGATATTGGTGAGTATGAATTAAGAGGCCTTAATCTTATTTGGTCTGTTCACTCACCGGTGTACGCTGTCTCTCATTCTACAGAAAAAGCAGTTGAACGAGATTATTTTATGAGCGCCGAAGAAGCGCTTGAATTTGGTTTAGTAGATAAAATATTAGAGAAAAGAAAGATCAAATCTGAAGACAAGGTTGATGAAAAGTGATTTTGCGAAAATACCAGCAAAATTGGTAAAATTTATTCCAATATAATTTGACGCTCAGTTTACATAAATACGCTCGCAGTTGAATAAAGACAGGTAAACTATTCTCTCCATTTAACGAACACCTCGTCCGTCCTATATCTAATGTTGATTACATGAAATGTGCAAATTTAGATTATATTTTGTTACAAATATATACAAAAACAGGCCCGCATCTTTTAATATCATACCTTTGAGTACAAGTTGAATTTTCAAGCGGCGTTGTGTATCCTGATCTAAACGCTAACAATCCAGCATGGGCAATCATAATGCCGTTGTCTATACAATATCTTGAATTATCAACGTTAGCCAAGAAACAGTGTTTACACCACAGCCATATAAGAACAATAGCCACTTACTTACCTTTCATCGGTTGCAAACACTTTTCCATCTCGTTGTTCAGCCATCTGAGCCATCATACTCTGTAATCGAAGATTGCATCCGACACCTCCAACAATCAGCACCTCCTTGCTCCCAATATGTGCCATTGCCCGTTCAGTTGTTTCTACCAACATTGCAAATAAAGTCTCCTGGAGAGAGAAGCACAGATCTTCAGGCGTACATTCATTTCTTGAAAGGAGATCAGGTGCTATTGATTCTATGTGAGATAGTATTCCAGAGAATGATACATCCATGCCCTTGACGGTGTATGGTAACTCTATAAATTTTTCGCCGCTAATGGTAACCAAAATGACATGCGAGTTAAATATATATAATCCTCTGGATACAAAATATCTATAATGAAATCCTAACCGTTTAGCATATTGCTCAATATTATATCCCGGACTAGGATCATTTGGGAGATTCAAAACCCTAGCAAAACGATCAAGACAATTACCCACGGCTATATCCAGCGTCTCTCCAAAGATCCTGTAACTATAAAACAAGAGTACAAGATGCGTTATATTGTGCACATTAACCGCTTTGTCTTAACAACAATAGAACCGGATTGTTCCAAATACCGCTGTTCGGCATAAGCAATGACTTGAGTGTTCCCACCGCTGACGTAAAGCACAACAGGATTTTCAGCTCCAGTCACTTGTCGACCCATTTCAATGTCTTACGGAGATATGTCTTCATGTGAGATAGGAACGCAGCCCATTTAGTCATAAACTCAATATAAGCGTGTATGTATATATTAGAAACTTACGTCCAACGCAATGGTTAACTCCAACAAGAGGTTTGTTCCATAACAAGGATAGCGTTCTCGCTACGACAGCAACAGATATCAATGGCGCACCCATACCTGGTCCTGTTTAGTAAAATGGACGCGATGAAAATTCAGTTTTTTGTTCCTATGAATTGATTATCTGATAACACACCTTTAGTATAGCAGATAACGTCAATGTCCTCGGTTTCTATCCCAGCAACCTTCAGTGCCTCAGTTAGTACAGGAAGAATATGTTCTCTATGGTGAGCTGCTGTATCGCGAGGCAGAAAACCAGTGCCAGGTGGCGTTATATGCGTATGTCTTATGTTTGAGAGTATCTCCACCGCACCGGTAGAGAGATCATGCGAGATCACACCCACTCCTACTTTGTTAGCAGAGCCCTCCAACCCAAGTGCAATCAGGACATTGGTATTAGATTTCATTAGTTTGGTCTTTTTTATTTCTTAATATTTCTACTTGCAAACGAATTAAACAAAAATTTTCTAGCAAAAGCAAATTCCGTCAAATGAAATCGTAGAATCGATTTGTACAGGAATATCAACAAAAAAAGTAAAGAATAAAAAACAAAGAGGCAAAAGAATTTTACATACAATTTAACAATGTATCTACCATTAAACAATTCTCAAAAATAGAATGTACGTATACTGTATAACACTCTATTTCTATACAAATACTAAATAAATTCCTTTAATCCCAGCGTCGGGTATATCCTCGACGCGCACGTCCACCACGTGATCCACCACTAGATGTTCCAATAACCTCCTTTCTCTCTTTTCTACCAGACTCTTCTCTCTCAATCCATCGTTCACGATCCGACCCTTCTCTATCGGTTGCTCTACCTATCCCACCACGGCGATTACCACGGGGAGGCAATGTGCCTCTACGTCCATTACCACGCGATGGAAGAGGGCGACCTCCTCGGCGGGTTGGTGAAAATGTGCGATATCGATCGGGATGCGGAGGTGACGCGCTACGCCTATGCTCTCTTTCCCATGTTGGTCTTCTATTATCCCAAGGATTTGGCTCACGATCATCAGGCCACATCTGTTGTCGATGCTTTTCTTCCCAAGACACTCTTTCATCAGATCCCCATGGCCTTTGATCTATCTGATTCCATGGTCTTGACTCGCGTGTAGGGGGCATGAATTGATTGAAGGATGGCGGTGGTTGTTGTCCTGGCTGTGACGGAGGTAATGCTTGTTGCAACTGCCTTTCTGGAGATATTGATGTGGGTGGATGCGGCGCTACGGTTTGCGCGTTCTGCGGAGCATAATATTGATTAAATATAGGCGGCGGCTGATACGGTTGTGGAGGTGCCTGATATGGCGGTGGTTGACTGGCAGATGCAGCTGGTGCAGCTGGATAAGGATTATTGAATATTGTACCTTGCTGTTGAGGCGTAGGTAATGCAATGGATGGAGCGCCCGACTGTTGGGGAGGTACTGGCATTGATTGAGTACTTTGTTGGAGATTAGGCATTGATATGGGTGGCGCGTTCTGTTGCGGCATGGGCATTGAAACGGGTTGAGCGTTTTGCTGTTGTGGCGTAGGTATTGGCAACGGTATCGATCCCATGTTGTCATAACCATAGACTATTTTAGGAGGAGTTTGGGATATGTTCGAAGGCTGGTTGAGATAGGACTGTACTATTCCATGGGGAATGTCATTTTGGGACGGCCGCCCTGTCCATAGAGAGCCATAAGCTGCGGAATTCACTGTCTCATTGACATCTCGCTGAGATTTCGAATCATCTATGCCGTGACTAATCGGATAGTTAGTGTTATGCTCACTAATTGGTAAAACAGTTTGGGAGTCCGTTTTTTCTTTCTTTGCAATCGCAGCACTCAATGATGATTGTGGCTTACGTTTTGAAGATGGGGTCTTAATTATAACTATTACGGCCAACATTATATTTGTATCCCTTTGTTCCGGTACTTCATCGATTTCCAATATCTGGATAAATTCAGGCGTTTCATCATGCGGTGCAAGTGGCACAAGATACATATCTTTCACAGCAGCAAATCTATGTCCTACTACTCCAAAACGTTCGCGAGAATGGAAATAATCAAACAAGAGTTCAAACTGTTCCCGAGACTCTGTCCCTTCAATTGGTGATATTTGTATAACTACCACGTCTTTTGTCACCGAGCATCCTTGTTGCGATAAATATCGCGATGCATCGTCAATTTTTATTCGTCCTTCGATAAACATTGTTGGAGTCATAATTTGGCTCCAATCGCGATTCTGAATTGTTCGTGCCGCGACTAAAGTCGCTTCAGCCTTGAAATCGGCAACAGAGTTGTAAATGACTTGCCCACTCCAAACTGGTTTGTTGGATAGAACTTTCCCTGTGGATGGCGAATGAGGTGGAGACGGAGATGCCGTAAATGGGGGGGTGTTCCCAATTGAATCTGTTGTACTCGGAGAGAGCCCCGTCATAGGGGACCCCATAAACGGACTTGACTCTTCTAGTGTGGGCTCTGGAGCCGAAGGATCCCATGCAGCTTCATCAGGGGACCTTTTATCAGCGGAAGGGGAGTCACTCGCGCTAAGTCTTCGTAACATCTGATCAAGACTGCTACTCGTTGCTCTAGGAGCAACAGTATTGTCCTTTGAGTCTGCTCCGATAAATGATGACGAGCTATCAGATCTTTGTGGAAGTCTAGTCCTAAAAGACGTGGACGGCGAAGTAGGCGATATCAATGACGTATCATCATTTGGTTTTTGGTCGTCTTTGAAATTATCGGGTCCGGGTGATGATGATCTTGCGCCGACAATTATAAATTCTCCTTTATGTGTCTTCTTTATCCTTGGCTCATGTACTGGGGCCTGCAGGACAGACTTGTTAATGCTTTCTCTTCTTATTTTCTCAGTCATTGATTTTAATTCTGGATTAGCTAGGTCTTCTGATGACATATTAACTAATTTTTCTGGGAATATATCACCCTTGACTACTTTCAATCTCAAAGAACTGTTTTTCTTGTCTTTGAGATTAGTATATAGACTTCTAAACTTTGATTTGTATGGTTGGTCACATGTCACGGGTATTCCATTGCTGTTCTTTGTAGCAAAATTGTTGAACATAGCAAATTCTATATTCCGTGCCAGTTTCTCTGCTTTAGCAAGATGCTCTCCATCAGAGCCGGACATATCGTTATTCTTGGTTAGGTCAGCAAACAAGGGAGTAAATATATCAGTGAACTGTTTAATAGATAATTTTCGAATACGATCTTTCACTGGGACCGCATTATTCTCAGTATTTGGAGACGGAGTAGACTGTTTTGACATTGTATTCAATTTGAGTTCTGGGACAGTTGTTGATTTAATTTCCTGTACGACTGATTGAACAGGTGGAGTAGATTGAATAGATGGAGTAGATTGTGTAGATTGAGCATATTCATCAGATTCAACAGATTCAACAGATAGAGCAAGTGGAAGAGGTTTCGTAGGGGCATTAAGTGGTGTGAATTCTGGTTGTGGCTCCATCTGCACAGCGAGCCGTTTCAACACGTTATCGGCATCCATTACTGCACAGTTATCGCTACAGTAAGCATCTTTCTCGCGTGCTTCACCTTGGCACCCCGGATAAAGGCAGTTTTTCTTCTGTTTCGATGAAATGTAAAAAATGGTGATGAACATAAAAGCGAATGACACGGAGGGTTGAAATAATGCATTTGTATATACTTACTGGGCCGTCGACATCCATATTGACAATGTTGTCACCGCCAATGACGACTGATTCGAAATGTTCGTCCGTCATTACTGCGTCGATTTCTTCCTCTATTAAAACGAAGAAAGACAATTTGGTTTGATGAATTAGATCTCTGGGACGATTCATGATTACAATGTTAAAGTGAGATATATGTGAGATGTGGCTCTATCAGCAAACTACAATCTAGCCTACGTTCAGGATACATGATCGACTAATCTGTTGATAATATAATATAATCGTTTGCCGCTTATTTTGCTCCCCGATGAACAACTCCTGGGCGTTGAGAAAATGTTTCCATGGTGTACGAAATTTAGAAGTACTCTTAACAAAACATGCTTTTATCAAAACGATCTTGAAAGGTGCAGCACGAGGTGAATACAGGGTAAAGGCTTTTTAAATCAGTTACGGAATACATTCAAACTCAGATAGGACACGTTGATGGACACCCCGTTATAATCGAAATCAGGAGACGGAGATATTGCAAACGAATCATCAAAATGATAACAGGAAAACGAATGAACTGATAGTTGACAGAACTGCAAGAATACACTGAACAAGAGCCACATCCTTGATAGAAAAAAAACAACGACAGAAATAATAGTCATACCAGTTGGTATGGCAACTTGATTTAGTGGATTGCAAACTGGACAGTAATATTTCCTTATTTTATCCGCCTTTGCCTTTGTCAACTTCACGCACGCTAGATGATACCTAATAGAAATAAGGGGTGAAGAAAATGATGTCAATATTGACCAATCAACGCCAAAGCATCTAAAACGAGTCTCATAAACTCATCACACCCCGATAAACTATGAATAATATTATATACCATTCTCTACACTTATCACACTGAATCATAATTCGATGGTCATCTGGTTTACGGCATAGACAATACACCTCTCTTTGTCCTTCCCCCAGGTTTTCCCCTTGCGCAGATATTCTCATGTGACTCTTATCAGAGTCTTCGCTCTGGTTTGACTGCACTGCATTTTCAGCTCGACTAGCAGATCTTGTCTTGTATGAATGTCCGTGTTTTGAGTGTATATTTTGATTATTAGTATCACTCTTACCAATAAGACGATGATTATTATTACTATGATTATCATTACTATTCTCATCAGCCTCCTGTACTGTTATTAGGGCAGGGTTGATGACAGACTCTGTACAGTTTGTGTTTATGAATGTTTCGTTAAGATCTGCCGAGGCAACTGGAAGCTCTTCGTACGCGTTCCAGTTTCCTTGAGTAATGGGGAGCTGAGATGCAGCTGATGTGTCTTCCCAGATCCCCGTTGTAGCGGTTAACGTGTTATCACTAAAGTTAAAGTCTTGTAAAAAATTCATATCGCTAAAAGAACTTCCGTTCTCCATAACTTATACGAACCGAAGCAACTTAAAAAGAATGGAGTACAAAGTTGGACTGCGAAGTAAAAAAATAGACGAAATGACGTCATTGGGAAACGAATAATACACGTGATCGGAGCACATAATAAATCCGATCCAACCGGATCCTCGGTGCCTGCCTCAACCCAACCAAGATCGATCGATGATTCATATTGAATCTTACATCGTAATATTAATCGCCAATTATTGATAGTGGGCAAACAGGTGGCGCTATCTGATTCGCGTTTAGTATGTAAAAGCATAAATTGTGCGTTTTTAGTTTAGTGTTTTGATTTCCATAATTCGATAAGACTTGTTAGAGTAATTTATGCCTTACTATACGATCGTTTATTATATGTTATCAGCTTTGTCTTATCGAATCGAGATTGATAGCATTAAGTCCTTGTATACGGTGAAGATGAGCGGTCTGCTAACCGTTTAATTAAAACCAAGTCTCGGCATTAAAAATCGGGTAGTAACTGAGCTATAGTCAACTGCCGATAATTCGATCTTCTTTAATTCGATTTATGACCGCTGGTTACAGAACAATTTTTGACATTTATTATTATTTCTATTGTAATTAACTGACGATAATTCGACTTGTACGTTAATTCGATCGATAACCTCGGAACGCAAGCGGTCGAATTATAGGCAGTTGACTGTATTACTATTATTATTACGTAATAAACAGATATGGATTCTATTATTATGACGTTCCCACTCTTGATTACCATTGGCAGTGAAATAAAAAGTTCATCACTCGCCTTACGTATAAATTCTTATTCTTTATTTAAATTATTAAACTAGCAAACCAATAATAAAAACCAATACAAAGTATGCGAATCTAGACATGTAAAACGGTCACAGTTCATAATACTGTCAAATTGGACCAAGTTTATTCAATTTACGCGCGTACCATCTATATATACGAATCAACAATATTCATTGTTATGTTCAACAAATTTTAATATGGTCATTAATGACCAGAGATATGGCCTACTGACAACACATGTTTGAACATGGTTCCTTTGCCGGGATCCTGAAAATTCAGATATTCTCTTTATTTCTCCTGCAGTTTCTACTAATCAGAGCCACACCCACACATTTCTTCACCACCTGGCACTGATAATGAGGATGTCCAAATGATTGAGCAGAGTGGAAACCAACTCCAAACTATGGACAACTATGGTAATATGCTGGGAAGCGGTCATTCTGGACATTGCTCTCAAGACGGTTGATTTGTATGGAAATTGTTAATGAAATCAATATCTATCTTGGGCCCTTGTGGAAGTAAAATCTTTTTATTTTATGATTTGGAATCCTTCATAAAGCATTTGTTTTTACAAGGTCAATCCCGTTAATATTAATCCGATATACGTTAGAATGAACCTTTTTTGAATTCCGCACTTTAGCTTATTACAAAAAAGGAAAAGGAGATAGCTATTGAGGTATTACAGGCAAGGGGAGTTATGCGTGGTAATGTTAGACTTGAGAATATAATGCTGGCTAGAAATCCACTGACAGGCAAGAGATTTTGCATGGAGCAAAATGCTTGATTGTGAGCTGATCAAGTTGAAAAAGTTGCTTCACATAATTGACCAAGGAGGTAAGCATGTTACATTTATATTTATTCTTTATAGTTGTACATACATCATTGATAACTCATTTTATTCTAGGACGTGATAATAATAAGAAGTGTTGTTGATATAGCCCACATAATGTTCATGACATGTCAACACTAGTGCACTAGTTGAATAAATGAGTAGTAGTATAGTTTCACTTGCTAGTAAAAGAAATATTTCTGGTTGTTTGTAGTTGCAGTATTACTGTTGCTCAGAATCACGGGGGCGCACTCAAATAAAGTTTTTTTTATGCTTCTCTATCCTGTATGTTGCCCAAGTGTAATTTAGAGATGTATTTTAATATCAATAAGGTTAAAGCAACCGTAGATCAACAAAACAAATGCTATTTATGTAATCGATATACTGTTTTTGGGGCAGTCTCGCAGAATTCGTGCTACTTCTGAAGGTGGACGTACAAAATATACAAATACGCCGTTGTTATAATTATGCATTATTTATTTCACGCCTCTATACGGTTGATAATTTTCCAAAGGGTTTACGAGTCTCTCGTATAGATTTGGTATGTACTTTGAGTCTGTGTTGACAAGTTTCAATTAAAGGTAACATTTTATTCTATCGTACCCAATTTACATTTTTACATTCAAAAGAGTAATATTATCGAGTCTTCCTATATTATATGAAGCATTAATTTTGAAAAGCAATCATAATATTACTTTTCGTCGCCGGCAAAAATCCTTGCCCTCTTCTTCGGTCTTTTAATAACAACCAGATCTTCCTCGTCTTCATCTTCATCGTCCAGTCCCTCTTCTTCTGCAACATTCTCAACCAATGATTTCCCCCTTTCCATCTCTGTATCATCTTCAACCTCTACACCATCAAGTTCAGCCTCTTCCTCTGTTGCTGCTTCAATCTCTGCTCCAGCTTCCGCTTCCTCCTCTTCAGCTTCCTCTTCAATTTCCTCTTCTTCCTCCATCTCCTCTTCTTCTTCAACATCTTTTTCAGGCGTAGATGTTACATTATAATCAAATTCTTCCCTAGCACCAGTGACTGTCCTTCTCCTGCGGTGTGCCTCACGACGTCGCTCCCTTTCTTCTTCTTCACGTTCTACTTCTTCATCACTAACAACGAAATCACCCCCATCCTCGTATGAATCATTTCTACCACGATATATTGGACGAATGTCTTCTTCTAAATAATCATCCTCCCTGGTACCACGGCGAGATTCGTATGCCTTACGTGAACGACGATAGTCGGCTCGTCGTTGAGCGCGAATTTGCTCCTTCTCGGCCTAATCATAGTTAGATATGGTTAAAAATTACGACGATAATATGAGAGATCGGGTCAATTACCTTGGCCAGTTCGAGTTTCCGTAACTCTGGATCTCTGTCGGTTGCTACCATTCTTGTCTTTATTTGTTTTACATGTCTCGATGCAATTACAGCGGCAATCTTACGATGTGTTGATCCAGTTGTGCCAAAAGGCTTTACCGTCACTTGATCGGTTAATCGGCCTTGCATCTCCATTATACTTTCGTTAGGATAATTAGTGGAAAGATATTGGAATTGAGAATGCAAACTTGTAATTGACATGTCAAACAGCTCTTCACCAACCAATAGAGACATAGATCCATCTGACCAGCGTACAATTTTGGTATTTGTTTGTTTTTTAATTTCGTCAGTGGAATCGTTACGTATATCGCGCCATCTTATTGTGTTCTCTCCTGCCAGTTTTATCCCGTCTTTACTCTCCATCTCTTCCTTATCATCGTACTCGTTAGGGAGAAAAGGTTTCGTATTGACAGAGAGAAAGTTTGGGACTTTCATCACGTAGTATTTATTATCAAGACCAAGCGAGAGTTTCCTTTGATCAAAAGCCACCGTGTCGTATGTTTCCTCTTCGCCATATCCCCGATCACCAGGCTCAAAGGTGCCAGACTCTGGTAAATCTTCCATGTTATTTTGTTCTTGTCCGTCTTCATCTTCGCTGCTGTCTGTTCCAAACAGTTCAACGAATTGATTCTTAGTGTCCTCTGTTGCATCGTCCCCTCCCGAATCGCGTGGGGGTGAGGAGACATCCTTGGGAGATACCTCTGTAGGAGAAGAGGCGCGAGCACCGGGCAGATCTTCGTCATTCTCACTATTGGGTGTAGGTGTGTCGGCCATTAATATTAATTTTTGAAGAAAAGTCGTTATAAAATACTAAGACGGTGATTATTACCATATTCGTACCATCGACTTTTGTGTAAGCATGCAAATAATCGTACAGTATGTGTTAATTCATACTAATACTAATACGTGTTGTTGGTATAATGATCAGGAATTACATTCAAAGCTTGTCCAACTCGGGCTAACGTAGTAATCGATTGTACTGAACGTGTCTGACATAGACATTTTGACGAGGAAGAGTGCTCCCTTGATAATTATATGCCATTTCGATCAACAGGTAAGTAAGATTTATTATCTCAGTCCACGTAAAGTGCATTTATTTGGTATTCAAGACGAGGCAGTACGCGAACAAATTACCGTAGTGCACTGACTAAACTACCCCCCCCCCCTGTGTAAACTACCCCCCTTAGGTTTTGAGCAGAAATTTTGTAAAAGACCCGGGTGTTTTACTTAGAGGTTTTTTTTTTTAAGTTGTAAAATAGCTGATCTTACATTATTTATAAATCAATATGCAACTTTATTATTTAAATTCATTTTATTATTTACGCTATAACATTTTAAATTTCATTCCAGTTATTATAATCTTGCCCATCCTCTTCCCCATCCTCTTCTGCTAATTCACTATCCATATTAGTATAACTACCACCATTATTTTCTTTATCCTCATCAATCATAAGATTATGATCTACATAATAATATTGCATCCGATTAAAACCCCCCCCCCCCTCCTATCAAAGTACCCCCCTGATTAAACTACCTGGGTACTTGCAAATTCAGGAGTAGATTTGTAAAAAACCCGGGGTAGTTTAGTCAGTGCACTACGGTAATTACGTTCTCGATGAAGACAAAATTATAGAGAAAGGCCCTAATGGCACACTAAGCTGGGATTAAGAGATTGAATAAAGGCGAAAATTACTTGTGGTCAGAATAAAAACAATGCCACTATTTGATTTTACTTATATTTAGTAATTTGCGGTTATTATAAAAGTATCGAGCTAAATTTTATGATACCCGGACATACTAAATGGTAGTTTTGGATTAATTAAAAAGCTCTATAGAAAGACAACGGTAGATTGCGTGAATCATATTGTTGAAATTGTGAAAAAATCGAGTACAACTGGATTAAACAAGGCTCAGCGTTATGACAATGTAAAAGGCTTTCAATATTTAGATCTTAATTCCGTGTTAGGAATTTTCTTTAAAAAATTGAGTGGCTTACAAAAATATCAGCATTTTGTATTCGAAGCAGCCAATCCTGAAGCTGTTAAAGCTCAGACGGTTGCTAATGGTGTTTTTACCGAATTTAACTTGTTGAAACCCAGAAAAACAACTGTTTCCGAAATTACTAGAGAAATTAAATCCTTTTCGATCCTAGTACTAACCCCTCCTCCTTTGGATTGCAAAAGACAAGAATATCTTTATCATAATATTCGCCCATTCGTTAGAGATGAATTGAAAGACATTACTTGTCCCAAGCCAGTACAAAATGTACTTGAGTAGCTTTTATAGTAAATCAAAAAAGTGTTATATGATGCTTATTTCTCTTAATTCTTACTCGTTTAATAACCAGGATAGCTAAAAAAAAACAATAGTATTCCGCAGCCAACTATTCAATAAACTTTTCTCTCTTATTTTTGTAAAGTTGATTTGCTAATTCAACCCTGGAAACTTTATTTTATTTTCGATAATATGCTTCAGGATCTCTTATTTTTTCCGCCAGGCGTTTATTTTCCATAGTGCCTAGAAATTGACCATCCTTTGTAGGTCTAAATTGCCTTCATCATTTTTGTAATGTAAATCTAGGAAATAGTGCTCACTGAAACTCAGACGCACAATGGTAATCATCATAATTCTTGCCTAGTTATTTCTTTAAGAGTTTCAGCATGGCATTTAGTAGATATTGCTGAATGAGCTTTGGAATTTGTCCTTAAAACTAAGCCAGAATATACAGTACCCCAAAATCAGAAATCCAGGACTTATTTATTCCTTTTTCTGTACTTTGCCATTGTCACACATATGGCAAACTAGTTCACTTCCTTCAGCACTTTTTGGACAAATATAACTAGGAGTGTTATCATCTTTTCAAGTGAAATGATTGTTTGTTTACCCTTTTCAATTTGTTTATGATAGTTATGACATTGGGAACATTTATGTCCTCGACTATCTTCATAAGCAGTAACATCTCAATCCAACATAATTTTGCATTGAGTGCATCAAATAGTTATTCTATCTCACCTTTCATTGCTTTTTTGGTGAATGTTTCTGAACCTAAAAGTAAAAGGTCAGTCAAAATTTTCTTTATTTTTGACCTTTTGTAAGGTTTCTCTAAAGATTTTCTTTTTATTTCTTTCTCATTCTGCAGTTTTTTATCTAATTCTTTTTGTCAACAACAGAATTCAACATGTTCTCTTTCTTCTTCATCTCATCAGTTAACAGTTAAACCTTCTTTTATATTATTACAATTAAAACATTTTCTTTAGTCATGATTACTTATTATTATTAATATAAGTAAGTTTTAAGCAAAAAAAAAAAAACAATGCAAAATAACTATTAAAAGTGAAAAAACTTGTTAAATCACAGTGAGAGTGGGACATTAATATTGTGTTTAGAAATCTTATTAATAAAAGCTGAAATAGATGGTACGTTTGTTTGTATTAAATTTTTTTGTCGAGGTATTTTTGCCTTTTGTATTTGTTTTGTAATGGTATATCATCATTCTGCTTTCTTTTCTTAATATTTATTATTTTTTATTCTTCTTGGTAAATTTCATAAGTAATTTTTTCTTTATCTAAATAATTCTGGAGAGTTTGGGTATTTATATTATTGATTTTGAAAACGTAAGGAGCAATTTTTTCTCCTTGGCTCTTTTTTTAAAATGCTTCTAATAGTGCTGTAATTCTTTGGTTCCATAATGGATTTGATGTAAATTAGTTTCATATTATATTTTTATATAGAGATAATCCTATATTAATCATGTTATGGTTTATATTCATCACATTCTGGTATGATAAAGTGAACATTAAATTTAACAAGTCCACAAGTTATGAATGAGCACCATTATTACTTTTCAAACGTCATCAATCACACTGGTCAATTTTACAGCCACATCATAATCAGCCTCTCACTTATGTCACATAATAATAATAGAATGTTCACATTGTAATTGTCTGGTTTTGTTGCATCATGCCCCATATACTAATACATACCATTGATCCTAAAAACTGTTGGACATACCAGAACTCTTGCACATATGATTTATAGACATATTGATTGTACCTCCAAGATCACATATTTTCAAGTAAAACTTGAGTGGGTTTCCTTTTATACTTCAAATTATGGATACACAATAATAATAAGAGAGTCTGCATTTTTTCCTATGCTTCCATGCTAAAAACCAAGGTAAAATATCCTCTTATTGTTAAATGTTCACTCCGTCATAACTATTAAATGTAAAAATTTCTGTAATTAATGGTTGATTTGCAATAAACAATTTTATTTACTTTGCGATAGTAATAGACAAATAATGTGGCACACCTACGTGGAGTTTTGCTAGGCACACCTATGTGGTATAAGTGTTTCATGTTCTCATACTCTTTCTAATAATCAACAACACGTTTTCGAAGTATACGATCTGCAGTTGTGTGACGTTTGACATACGGATTTCATATTCAGAGAATTCGAACTTTGATTATATATGGTTTGACTCCCTGCTTTGCCGTTATAGTTAAAAGAACAAACGCATCGTACCGCCATCTTAATAATTTTCAAATGCCCTACACAGTTTTTACACCAAAACGTAAATCATTTCTTCTCGCATTAGACAACACAAAGTGGCACTATGCCCATAATTATTATGGTGTGCCATCGTATACCGCCAAACCGTGGCATCGTAAGATCCCTCTTTCCCTACGGACTTCTCTTCCAGAAGAAAGCACGCCTCAAAATCTGCACGTGACACTAGTCGACGTACTCGTAGTATTGGGAGTCTTTACCGGGTTGTGCTGGTTGTACTGGGGAATAATAAAACTATGTCAGATCTTGGAGGAGTGGGAGGAGTGGACGCAAACACAGGAAGAGTGGGAAGCGGCACAGAGGGCCACTTGTGATAATCCTGCAGTTGGACTCCGAGCCTTTACTCCATCGGAAATGAGGAACAACTGGGTTTGGGATTATATTAATATTGGTGAGTGGGATGATAAATCGTTGGTTGAGAGAATGTTGTCCTTTGTGATGTTTTTTCGCAACTTAATGCATCTTTATTTTGATTTACATAGCTCGCCCAATCATGATACCTTTTGTTCATATGAAATATACGATAACTGGCTGGATTTCTGATGTCTTTGAGGAACTTCCTGTGTTTGCGTATAGATTCGCAGTGGAATTAACCAGTACGTAATGGATAGATCATGCATTTTCTGATATTTGATATAACAGCAATGACCGTTTGATCTATTTACTGATTGGATGATATATCTCGTGAATTTATAGAGGCCCTCATATTTATAGCGATTGGATATGTGATATGGGCATACTCTACTCATAAAGTTGAACAGAAGCAACTTGAAGATGAGTTGTACAACGAGCTTGTCACACAACTTAAAGATCAATTAACAAACAATGTATGTGTTTTCACTGACAATAGTTCCGTGATTCTCTGTTGTAGTCCGCACTGCGTTGATCATATCATTCTTTATTCCTTAGAACGAATTTATCTTGGGACACGAACGGTTGAACTTCTACGCATACACAAGTAACGTTGCCCTTCGCATCAAACAACGCGTATGGCTTCGTGCTGAGGATCATTTAACGAGGGAAATATGGTGGGTCGGGAAGAAAACGTACGATGGTACCGTTGTGCTGTACGATAAGCGTTTATTTTATTAAGAAAGAAAGACAATGATAATTGTGGTTTTGGTTTCATCTTTGATATTTTGTTGATAATCTGCTATTATATGTCACATCCACAAAATAATTGTATATAAAAAATAGATAATTCATTTTCCTAGAGAAAAATAAAAAGACTGTCATATCAAGAATGTAGAAATAGCAGAAATAGCGAACAGTATACGGTTTCTTATCAGCCGATGTCTCGGCAAGATCATCAATCACTCATTATGCAAGGTAATCAACTGTTTGTTGAAGTAACAGGGATTTGTATCAAGTGCTTGAGTTGACGTCATGTATTGAGGTGATTCACGTAGACAAAGCTTCTGGTTGCATGTATTGACATTAGACGTGGACTCAACGAACTGCCCTTAGTTACTACTATTACTCAACTTAAATATTTTCTGTTAAAAAAGACATGCTCCTCCTGTTCTTTTGAATGAGAAATCGGGGTCTTGGTTTCCTAGTACCCAAAAATAACGCATTACTCTAGACTCACCAGATTATAGCATATTCTGTAAAAACACGTCTCTGAGCTCTGCACGCGTTAAATTTTATTACTGTTACAACGTTGCCTTAATCTATATTGTCAGCGAGTAATATTATGGAATAAAGAAATCGCCAATTCTTTCTCTTCAGGCATGTAACATGATACTGATCGAAAAGAAGACTATTTTTAGGCCATCCGAAATTAGTTTAATTAGCACGAAGTTGAATGTACAGTAGCTAAGCATTGTATTCATGAATGATTAGCATCAAACTCATTACCAGTTTCATAAACTTTAAGTAATGTCTACCCCGGCAAATGCAGCTAACAGTAAACGTGCACGATTTTATTTCGGTATCTTTAACTCAATCCATATTGACATACATGTGAAGTACACGTATATCGTATTTAATTTATTTAATTGGAAGAGGAGTATAAGGGAGGTAACTGATGAGAATCGTAGCTGTTTCTTGATCCCAGTAGGTAAGAACGTACTAGAATATTTACTCTCCTTCTCGAGATGTGATAAGGGTTTTATTTACATCATTATGATAGATGGTCTTCCACATGTTGTCATCCGAATCGTTCCTCACAAATAAGCTCGTAAATATCACACCAAAATGTCTTTGAATCTGGACGCTTATCAGGATCAGCATCACAACCCCGCCCGGCAAGTTTCTTGTATTTCTCTGGTGCGGAATCAGGCAAAGGTGGTCGTAGTCCATCCATAATCTCGCGTATTAAACTTGTATCAAACTGCCTATCTCTAAATGGTGGCTCACCAGTGGCCATCAAATGCATAATAATACCAAAAGAATACACATCTGATTTCTTCGTAAATTTGCGAGTATGGAAGACTTCCGGTGCAATATAGGGTAAAGCGCCTCGAATGGTTGAATTTGACTCGCGTGAATTCACTGACCAAGATCGCATATGTATAGTGATGTACCACCTAAAACTATGTTTCCACCATGAAGATCACAATGCACTAAACCCACATAATGGATTGCACACAGATGGCTTGCAAAATCCTTCAAACGCTCTAATTTATCCCTCCACATCAATTTGTTAATATTTTGATCCAAATAAGACAAAAGACTACCATTGTTAGCATATTGCACGACAATCATGTACTCTTTTGTTTCTGGGTTTTGTGTCACTCCATAATTTTGAAGGAATGAAGAAGTACCACCTACACATTTGACATGATTTCTGAACTATTAAATAAAAATAATACATCGTCAAATTGGGTATCCCTTTAATTAATAACATCAGCAATTGCTTACCTCGGAAATAAATAATTCCGGCTTTTCATCAAAACTCTTGAACCTTTTGAGCACAACAGTTTGTGGTATGTGCTCTTCTGAATACTTTCCATATTTAGCAGTATAAACTGTTCTATAACCACCAGATCCGATCTCATTTAGTTCGTAAAAGTCACTATACTGCCTGTATTTGATATTTCTGTGAT